GATGATTCAGTTTATTTTATCAAATGCGGTAGACACCTCTGGACAACCCCCCAATTTCTTCCGAGGCCCGTACCGCCCTCTTAGATCTCTTCAGCGCCCGCCATGGGCGATAGGGACCGCCTTGGAGAAACTATGCTCTGAACGGTGATTTAACTCTGTGTTATGATGTAACACAGTCCGATGCAAAATGCAAGAGCAGGTGGGGACATGTTTACTGCTACTACTAAATATAGATCTAAAAAGTCTCAGATAGTACAAAAATTTTAAAGGTTTCCTTTTGGTAAACTTACAATGTTTTGCAAGATCTCATAGAAGAAAAATTGTTGTTCATTATGATGTTAGTGATATAGACCTGTGAGGTTGTTAGCGTTTTAAAAATAACCCTGTATAAAGTGGCGTCAATTCAGAAAGGCGAATGTCTTTTTCGTGATCAATAAGAAAAGTATTTTTTTTTTATATCTGTGCAATAGGAAGTATTTATTTGGGCACACAGTATAATAATATATACGGTATAGTATACGAGATTTTTTAGATAATAAACAAAACAGATGCGTTATTGTTCTTCGTAATAGAACAACACAACTTGTTACAAATCCAAAACAATAGAAATGTCGGCATCATTCTTCCTCTCCGTTCTACCATTCACTCATTCATCTACTTCACTCGCGTTAATCACTCATATCCTACCGTTACATTCATAATAATGTTAAATTGAGTTAACTGCATTCGGTGTGAAATGTTCTACATATTTTCAGGGCAAAGTAGACTGTCACTGGGACTACACACCACAACCGTACATGGTATATTACTACACGCGAGTCGACTTTCTGTCCAGGATAAATTTCGAGAACAAGTTTATTTACGACAGGATAATTACAACTGTGAGTTGCTAACAACGTCGATTACTATCAAAATTATTATACTGTTATACAGGCCCTTTTGGGTCTTTTTCCTCTTTTATCACCTCTTATAATAAATCTTACGGACCGAGCCTTCTGCATTCGCATTTCGCAGAGGCTAGTGTTACGGACACCGAGCCTGCGCCTGCACTCTAGCATAATTACTAGTTGAGAGACCAATAGTTGTACTTAAGTAGGAACATTTCAGAGAGCAAATAACGTAGTCGGTAGCAAGTCACTTGAACAAGCGTTTCATTTTCGATCCTGAGAAGAGCAAGAACCTGAACGAGTACAGTCTATTGACCTAGAAAACCGAACATCTTTGATCCTACGAGAGCTGAATCATCAACAATAGCTAGACTACAACTGTAGACGGAATTTTCATAATATTTTTATTCTAACCTACAGAACCCGAAAGTCCAAACCACAGCCAGTCTCATGAAAGACTGGGAGCGGAATCGGCGAGATATTCTAGAGCGCGCCGAAAAAAAATTCGTGCTTTTCCCTCTCGTGGCTTGCGAGGACATGGAAGATGTGACTTTTGCTTCGCCGAAGGGGGTTAAGAGACCACGGTAACGGCTGACAGTTCTGAATGAGCGTCTTTTTCCTTTCTTCTTATCGTATCTGTTGGGTATCCTTGTGTTCTTCAAGAAATTCTTCCTCAAACTTAGGAATGTGGACTGTATTAACTTTGATGAAACTTGTTTGAAGACTTTATCACTATGGCCATCTGACTTACAAGTCGAAGTAAGAACGAAGATTGAATAATACGTAATGAATAACGCGTGAAGAGGCATATTGTAGGCAGGCAGGGTGGAGGCGGCTAGTGCAGTGAGGATTCCATCGCTGCACTAGGTTCCTTCGCGTTTGGATACCACTTTCCACTTAACATCAGGTGGAGTGGAGTCATTTGCCTGTCAGGTATAAAAAAAAAACAAAAAAAAAAGAATAATGCCAACCGAATACAACTCTTATTGGCGTCTTACATATTTGCCGATATGGTGTCTCCTACACCGTACCGGCCCTATTAATGCGCTGCGGACGCCTCCCAGCCAATCAGAGCCCTCGAATTATTCAGTCGCATTTGCTCCGTTCGTCCTTAGCAGTATGAAGGTACACTGTAATGCTTGCCATGGTGGTGAAAGGGTTTCATTTACTCACTAATAAGCTTTTCGGAGAAGAAAAACATCGTGAATAAATCTGCAAAGCAATTTAATGATGTGTGTCACGTCGAATCCTCTTTGGACCTGTGACTGCGTCGGAACTACAGCTCAAGTCCACTCATTGCGAGAGTGGGCCTATGCTCAGCTGTCGGAGTATATATCGTTTGCGTTTCATAGAAAGAACAAAGGCGCCATTTCGAAAAATTTTTCAGGGGAATAAGTTCCCCAACTGTTTTAAAGTATTTATGTGGCTGTTTTGAAATTCAATTTTAGTTACAATTAAGTTTTAAAATTGAATTTAAAATAGGACGTAAGTATCGAAAAACAGTTGTAAAAAAGCAAAACATTCCAAACGCACGCCCTTCCTACAAAACACCGACGATATTATATAGGCTAACTATTATATTTTAAACGGAGATGGGCTGTGGGTAAAAATCAAGCCGCTCGGATGTTTACCCATTCCTGCCCAAAAACGAAACCAAAACGAATTTGGTACAATTCCATACTTATTAGAAATTTCGATGTAAAAAATCCTTTTTAGACGAAAAAGAGTCAACTCCACACAATACACAACTTGCAATCCTGTAGATTCTCGCTTACATATGCACATTACGATTCGATTTTCGTGAAAATCGATTCAAATAAGCCCCAGTATAATCAGTTCTTATGTGAATTATTTTATTTCATTTTAATTATTTTAGTTGTTCCATAATAAAACTTTCTCCATAATGATCGCCTTGTCAGCATACCATCATTCGTCTAATCTTGTTACGATTCCCTCGTCCTCGCACACTCACATCCCCTCACATAATTACATGCACAACAATCAACCACCTACATTATACACACACACACACGCGCGCGTACATTTACATATATACTTACACGCACATATACACAAACAAATACTAACACTGCACAAACAATATTTTTCCTTTTTATTTTTTTTTATTCCTTTGTAAACTTGTAATAAGTAAATAATTTAAATGGATAATTTAGTTATTGCAATTATCAATTATCAATGTTTTTATGTATAGTTCTTGTAAACGATAAGAAGTTTTCGTATTAATTCATTTCAATGCGACTTTCAAGCGAATCGATTGAAGACAAAGGCAAAATATGTAAGCAAAAAAATTAACAGTTTGTATTATAATAATATCATTAGATTTGAACAAATCTCTTTACAAGTAAATAGTTGTAAATAGTTTTTGCCCTCCATTTCCGGCTTAATCCGGGTTAATGGTTTTAATGGCTCTTGCCCATCTCTGATTTTAGTATCTACCTGACAATATCGCATCACAAATGCTCGCCAATGGGAGAGCTGCAAGTGGAACTCTTCACAGACGTTTGTCCGCAAACGTGTGAGCTCTTCACTGAGCTTTTGATGGGCGATGGCCTGGGCTATGGATACGTTGGAACTAGTTTTTTCAGGTGAGAATGATGTTCAGATGTTAATGGCTCGAAAGACAGGTTTCATATACCCAATAATAACGCGCACTCTCTTAGCCCCGCACTAAAGAAACCCTGTACCGCTGGTGCACATATATACACACACCACAAATTATACAACGAACTCTCGAAAATAAATGTAGGCCATAGAAATGTTAGCAGCAGTAGAGCTCCTTGTGAGAGTTCGTCCAGGGAAATACTTGCCACCTTACCTATTTCTGCCGCCAAGCAGTAGTGTTAGCATTACTGCGTTCCGGTTTAGAAGGGTAAGGGTGCTGGTAAAATTATGGGCACATGGGACTTGTCACCTTATGTCTCAGAGTGACAGGCGCAGTGGTAGTGCCCCCTCAGATCTTTGCAAATTAAAGGTCTAAGTGGGACTGTAACTGTTATGGACAGGCGTGTAGCTTACCATCAGGCGCACGAATTGTGTGTAAAAAAACCTGGCCCTTGATAGTATAAAAAAAATTCTCTCGGCCCGGGAATTGAATCCGGGACCTCTGCGTGAAATGGGAAAAAAACCCAGAAAATAATTTCGACATTGTCCTTGTCTACATTTTATACGATACCCCTTCTTTACCTTTGGTTATTATGGTACCACGTGCAATTCAAAATATGCAACAAGAACAAGATGCAACACGACATTATGATGTCCATACTGCCACAGACTAATAAGAGATACTACGTATTGTTACTAGGTATGACGGGTACTTCGAAACAATTGACGGGTGTCGTCAATTGTTTCACTTCAAACTACCAGTTTAACTTGAACTTTCCTATAATGAACGGGAATTGCAAAATTACATATCTAATATTTAATTACCGATGAAATGTGATTCCGTTTGTTTTGTAATTAGATGTTTTGCTGTTTTTCCCACATCACCGAGTGGAACAGCTCCCATTGTTAAAGATATTATCTTTATTACAATAAATACAGAATATTTTTTGAATATACGGAGACGTACACACAGGTCTTTTATTGGCGCTGTACTATTTCAGCTTTCTAATTTGTGATTTCAGTGCAAACGAGAGTTGATATTTAAAAGTGATATAAGGCCCATTTGCCTGATGAGTTGCCAGAGACGGATGGCCCTTATTTCGTCTTTATTTCTGGTATATACTCGATGAAAACAATTGAGCTAATGATGAACTTAGCCTTTGCTATAATTTATATTTCACGTAATTTTGGGGGAAATGTCGATACGTCGTTGTCGGTTATTGTTTAAAATATCATTTGCAATAAAAGTTGGCGGTCGTGTCTCGATATAGTCATGTGAGGTTGTTAGTAGTACTTTACAAATAGGTCTGTATAGATAAATAAAAACTTATCTACAATAAAAAACTGTATACCATGTACCTACTTTTTTAATGACAAAATGACAATGTCAGTGCAACATCAAAAAAAATGTTAAAACTAGCTGTTTACTTCGTAATTTTTTTTATTGGCATTGCATATTTTGCGGTTCTTTACATTTACTACCTCACACTTCGGAAAGGGGTTAGGGCACTGAACGAACGATAGTATTTAATTCAAATTGGTCCAAATGTTGGTTTCGGATACCGGTATAAACTCGTCGTCGGAAATCCTCGTTAAAGTCGTTGGACCAGATGGGCAAACATTTACCGCTTATTTTCCTGAAGATACTCTCATAGAGGAAGTAAAAAATCGAGCAATAGATTTCTTCTATCCGAATGGAGAGAATGGATCAAGCCGGTATAAAATGGTCCGAGTTGTAGATACGTCCACTTTGCACGATTTCCTCACAGTTGGCCAAGAACAAATAGTCATGGAAGAAGAGTTACTTTTGGTTGAAAGAAGGATACCTGATTCCGGAACCCTTTGGGATCTTGGTACCGTTCGGGCACCGCTGCAAGGGACTATTGCTGCTGCTACTGCATCCTTACCGACTCCGCAAAATACAATTAGACAACCCAATCTTCAATCCTTGTTGTCTACCAATGAATTGTCCTACGAATTGAAGAAAATTCTCATATCTCTCATAGAAGCAGGAGCAAGATTAGCGGCTTCAGGGAGAAACTATGAAATGGCGCTGGCGCAGCTATCTGCGGCGTTGGAAGAACCTCGTATACACCAACGTCCGATTATAGAGGTAATTACACCTGAAGAAATCGAAGCACGATTAAAGAGCAGCGAGTGGGATCCTGGTGCAGCAACAACAACGACAAATTCCAATGGAGATAAGTTATATAGACGCGCGGAGCATTTGCAAAGATTCTTGGAGAAATTTCGCGCCTGGCGTATAAAGATAGCGGAACCTCCCAACCAAGAAGCGTTAACAACATTGAAAGACCTTGGGTTTAAGGAAGAAGACGCCGAAAAAGCCTTAAGGAATACTGGTAGCAACGTCCCAGCTGCTGCATCTTGGTTGATAGGCGAAAGGGGATCCAGTGTCTTCGAGCTCATAAACGGTTTACCTGATGGGTTGATTTTGCAGACTTTACTGAAGCAACCCCAGATCCAAAGAGGTCTTCTGAACACGCGAATGTTAATCGCTTTCATAGCTATGGTTGGACAAACCGGTAGTGCGTCATTGTGGCTTAATTCTCCCCATGGAAGTCCACTGCTGTCACAAATTTCGAGAACCTACCACTCTGAGAAGTACTGCCTTGCAGTAAATCAGTTTTCTGAGGAAAGACGTGAACAAACTACGACTCCTTCGACGTCTAGACAACGGAATTAACGATTTTTGATTGTAGTATATTTTTGATGACATTTGAAATATATGTTTGTTGTACCTCTAGTAGTATTGTCGCTGAATTATTTTTCTTTGTGTAGAGTAGGTGTTGCGGACCGGCTACTGGACGGGGCAGATATAAATCGTTTTAGTTATTTTCTATTTTCCTGTTACTCATTGTTTATGTACATTTTTTGCCTATGGTGCGTTCGTTTTTGTTTAGCTAATTTTTCTCTAAATTATAATTTTATTTTGCTTTACTTTAAGAGCTCTCATGCCAAAAAAGTTTTGGCGTTGGCTCCGCCCAAATTTGTGAAAT